GCAGCCCCCCCCCTCCGCCCGCGGGCCACAGCCCTGCGGCTCAGGGAGGAGAGGCTCCCCCCCCCGCACCCCTCGGGGGCTCAAGGCGCTGCCTCGGGGGCGGGGCTGCACGTCCTCCAGCGGTTCCGGTTTCCCTCCCTAGACTTCTACCCAGAGCCCCAGGAGGGCTGGAGCCGACCCGGGCATACCTCCAGTTAAAGGGGGTCAAGGGGGAGGTGACGGGACTCAGCTGTGCCTGGCTTCCTCCCTCCTGCCCTGGCAACAACCCTTAGAGGTAGGCTAGGCTAAGAGGGAGTAACTGGCCCCAGGTCCCCAGTCAGCTGCAGGGCTGGAAATCAATGCAAACCCAGGCCTCTAGGGCTGAAATTCCGTCCCCTCCGCCCCACTGCCTCTCCTGCATGTCACCTGCCGCCTACAAAGTCCAGGGGGGCACCCTCCCTCTGTCCGCCCCCCCCCCCCATGCTAGCTGAGGACAGACATGCAGGGAACAGGTCTCCTACCTTCTCTCTCTGCAGACTCTCATCTGGGAGAGCCAGACTCGATTCCCCACTCCTCCTCCACTTGCAGTTCCTGGATGATCCTGGGCAAGCCACAGTTCTCTCAAGAGCTGTCCTTGAAAAAGAGCCGTTTCTGCCAAGAGCTCTCTCAGCCCCACCTCCCTCACAGAGAAGGGGAAGGAGTTTGTAAGCCGCTCTGAGACACCTTCGGGTAGTGAAGGGCCATGGAGTATGAATCCAATCTCTTCTTCTTCTTCTATCTCAGGCTGCAGAAGAGGCAGGGCTGTTTGGGAGACCCCTCCAGCCTGCATCTCCAGGGGCAGAGGAAGTCGATTCAGGCGCTGTGATGTGGCGAAAGCGCCAGCCAAACCTGTCTTGCCGTAGGGAGCAGCAAGAGTCCGGCAGCTGGCTGCATCTGGAGAAGGGAGCAGCCGGCCCCTAGCCAGGATTTTTAAATTCAAGGGGGCTTAAAATAAGTCAGGGGGACGGGACTTCTGCATATAGCTCCCACCCTTCCCTGCAATTCAATTCAATTAAACTACTCTCCCTCTCTGCTAGCAGGGGAGGAGAGGGGGTTGGCAGAGGCTGCACCAAGGTGCGCCAGCCAAAAAGGCCAGGTACTTCTCATGGGCTCCCCCCTTTTCCTTGCCAACGAAGGAAGGAAAGAAGGAGGGAAGGAAGGAAAGGACCGGTGCCACAGCGTTTGGGCTCAAAGGCCAGGTACTGCTCTCAGCCCCAGTCCCCCGTGGCCCGGCTCTTGTTGCCAGCGTGGCCCGTGCCACCCTGGCTTCCTTTCTACTCTCATAGTAGTACTGTGAGCAAATACCGGCCCTACCTCACCTACTGGCTTCCTGCGCCTTCAGCTTCAGAGAGTCCGGGGAGGGGGAGAGGCTAGGGTGAATAGGGAGTCAGGGGGCCTTGGCAGGAAGTCGGGGGCCCAGGCCCCCGGAGGTCCTCACTGTAGCTATGGGCCGGGTGAGCAGTGACCCATGAAGAAAGCTCCTCCCCTGCCGCCAGTTGTGTTAGTCTTGAAGGTGCTCCTGGGCTCAGGACAGACAGACACGGCTGATTCTGTGAACCGAGGCCGATCAGGAGAGGGAGGGCAGGAAGGGTTGCCTCAGTCCTTAGTTCTCCTCGTGGCCCTTTCTGACACCTCCAGGGAAATGCTGATCGCCACTTTGGGGGTCAGGAAGCTATTTCTTCTCCAGGCCAGTTTGGCCCTGGGGATCCTGGAGGTTTTTTGTCATCTTCTGGGCCATGGAACAGCAGTCACTGTGGGTGTGGAGGGGGAGGTATTTGTGGATTTCTTGAATTTGCAGAGTATTGGACTAGATGACCCTGGAGGTTCCTTCCTCCTCCACTTGCAGCTGCTGGATGACCTTGGGCAAGCCATAGTTCTGGCACAGCTGTTCTTGGGGGGGAAAAAGCAGTTTCTGTCAGAGCTCTCTCAGCTCCACCTACCTCACAGGGTGTCTGTCTGTTGTGGGGAGGGGAAGGGAAAGGAGTTGGTATGCCACTCAGACTCCCTTGGGTAGTGAAGGGCGGATCCAATTTCTCCTCTTCTTCTTCTTCTTCCAACTCTAGGATTCTATGACCCATCTTAAACATATTTTGGTTTGAGTGGTTTTTTCTTCATCCCTTAACCCAGAGCATTGGGCAGTGTGCCACTTCAGTTATGCATATATTTGAATGAGTAATGACATGCAAATCAGCACCGAGGAGGTTTTATTCCTTTCCAGTTAGCGAAGGATCTGGCGGTAGGTATGGAGAAAGACCTTTCTCTGCCTGAGACCTTGGAGAGCTGCTGCCAGTCTGAGTAGATGAGACCGAGTTCGATGGCCCCAAAAGTTCTGATTCAATATGTGGCAGCAGAGTGCGTGTGCGTGAGAGAGCACAACCAAACCAAAGTGTGTACCAGGGGTCATTTCCTGCAGGAGCGCACAGGAGCAGAGCTCCGGCAGTAAAGAGCCCGGGGGGCGGGCACATGCAACAAGCCCCACCCCCTGCTCCCAGCAGCCCTCAGTCAGAGCAAGAAGCAGCCAGGTAAGCTGTAGAGCCCCCCCCCCCGACCAAAACCATCCAGTGGCACCTTTAAGACCAAGTTTTATTCAGGCACCAGCTCTCCCTCCTCTGTGAGGACAGATCTGCACTCCCCCCCCCCAATAGCTAGCAATCCAAAGCAGTCCAGTGGAGCCTGAGCGGTGGGTGTTGCCTTCTGACACACTACCAGTGATGTCACGGGGCGTGGCGCATGCAAATAAGTTATGCTAATGAGTTATACTAATGAGCTCCTGTACCTCTTTTTCTATGAAATGACCCCTGGTATGTGCTCCTTCCACGAGTGGGGCGGTCTGGCTTCCTAATCCGCGACAGGGCCCTGATGCTGCCCCCTCCTCTTCCTCTCTTGCAGGGGCTCTGAGGGTTTGTGCCCTGGGGTGACCCGGGCCCTGCAGGGCTGAGCGGCGCCAGACCTCTCTGCCTGCCCAGAATGGAAGCCCGGGGGGAGAGAAGGGAGGAGGCTGAGCCGCCACGCATCACCTCCCAGCTGCTGAAGGCCAAGACGGGCGAGTTCGACCTGGAGTCCATCCTCCTGACGGGGCTGGGCCTCTCGGACCTGGGCTGCCTGGGGGAGTGCGTGAACCTGGAGTGGCTGGACCTGTCCGGCAATGCCATCGCCCACCTGGGCCCGCTCTCCTCCTTGAAGGCCCTGGCCGTCCTCAACATCTCCTCCAACCGCGTGGCCAGCCTGGAGCCCCTGGCCGGCTGCGAGAACCTGCAGAGCCTCAACGCGGCCGGCAACCTGCTGAGCAGCCTGCAGCAGCTGCAGTGCCTGGCAGGGCTGCGGGGCCTGGAGAGCCTGCGCCTCAGCAGCCCGGCAGGGGGGCTCAGCAACCCCGTCTGCGCCACCCTCGGCTACCGCGTCGCCATGGCCGAGATGTTCCCCGGCGTCAAGGTGATCGATGGCGAGCGGGTCTCGGGGCGGGGCAGTGAGCTCTACCAGCTCTGCAAAGACCTGGATAGCTCCCTCAAGCGCTTCCCCAGCGGTGGGGCAGGCGGCGTGGAGCTCGCCGGCGTGGCCAAGCCCTGGGTGGCGGAAGGCTACTGGGACCTCCGCCCCGCCCGCCGGAGCTCCATCGTGGAGGAGGCCTACAAGCAGTTCAACGAGGTCCTCCAGGAGTGCCGGGAGCTGAGCAAGCGAGCCGAGGACACCATCGTCCAGGCCGAGCGGGCCCTGAACATCCGCCCGGACCCCAGCTCCTACGTCTTCTGAGCAGGCCCGGAGCTAACCTGGGGCCCACGGGGGCCTGGCCCCCTGGCATTTCTTCCGGGGCCCCTCCCTCCCTCCTCGGCTGGCCTCAAACTGAATGGATGTAATTAACTTTGCTTTAATTAGCTATGCCCCCCCCTCCCAAAAAATCCCCAGCTGCGGGCCTGCAGGCGTCCCTGGGCGTCCATGCGCTCGGCCCCCAGGCCTTGGTGCCCTCGCGGATCTCCTGGGTCCCTGCCGGCCCCTCCACGCTGGCTCCTCCCCCTCCTCCCTCCCTCCTCCCGCCCAGTTCAACCCCCTTCGGGTGACAGCCGCACTGCTTTGAAGCAGCAGAACAAAGTTGGCATCCAGGAGTCACCTTGAAGACCAGCAAAGTTTAGTTCTGGGCCTGGACGGGACAGCTGATAACCAGGAATAAAACTCTGTGGGTCTTCAAGGTGCCCCTGGGCTCAGACTGGGTTCTGCTGCTTCAGACCACCTGAATCTACTCATAAACAGGTGTAACTGCCATACCTTCCCCCCACAACCAGGCTTGGGTCCCTGGGAATCAGAGCTGGTGGGCCAGGAATTGCAACCGGACGTCTTGGCCCTTTTCAAAAACGAGAGCTCCCAGGGTTCTTTGGGAGGAGAGACGGAACATCCAAACCAGTTCAGGGGCCAAACTGGAGTTTGCAACGCAGGGGTGGGCGTTCTCGGCTGTAGGGCTCAGGGCCGGGATCCCCATTTGGTCCCCCTCACGGCTCGAGCTGCTGGGGACATGGTACGCTTCCTCATGAGTAACCCCATCAGACCCTGTCGTCTGGGATGGCTCCTACAGCCCCTTTTCTGTACTGCCAGGCAGTTCAGTCTCAAGGAAGCAGCCTTGCCGATTCCCTGCTGGGTGTCCAGACCGCGAGTGGCCCCTGTCCTGGTGGCGTGGTGGACGGCCCTCTGCACTTGTGGGGGCTGACGGTGCTTCACTGCATGTGGCTGCCATCGGGGACAACTGCACACCAACGGCTGTGCGGACTGGAGCGTGGAGTCCAAAGGAACAGGTGGGGGCCACGAGGGCGGGCTCACCCACCAGCCGTCTCCACCCTCCCCGGTCCTGGAGCGCAACCCGGTTGGCTCTGGAGATGCCGCCTTTCTGGTGGCCTCCACCTTCCCACCAAGGGGCTGAACTGGCAACGATGCTCTCCTGGGCTTTCCCTGGAGGGTGCGCAGGGGTCAAGCGACAGCCCAGAAACCCATCACATCCTGACAGTCCGTCATATCCTCAGCCAGCCCTGGTGCCGGTGCGGGGATACCCTCCTCTCCCCGGCATTCCACCTGGCACTCAGGTCAATGGAAGCCCCGAGTTCCCATCACCACTGTGGAGGTCCTCAGGCCCTGTTTCCCTGTTCCCCATCTGCCCAGTCACTTTGGGGTCCAAGCGTGGCCGTTCCACTTGGGTCTCTGGGCTTGGGGGCAGCGAATGGAGCACAGCGGCCTGAAAGGAGGAGCTGACCTGAGGAGGGGGTGCCAGGGGAGGTCAGGGAAGGTGGGCCCCAAAGTGCCCTCAAGGGGGCACCCAAGTAGGTGAGGGTGGATGAAATCACCTTGCGAGGCTTTGTGGGAAGGGGCTTTGGGTCTGAGTTCTGGATGTCCCTCCAGGGGGTGGGGGCACTGCATGCCCCGCTGAAGCCCCACGGTCACGCTGTGCAAGTTTTCCTGTGAAATAAACTGGATGTTTTCCCACCCTCAGGCACGGCTCCCTGGCCTTTCTGCCTTCAGTTCCTCCTCTTGACTGCTGTCTCTGCGTCCCAGGTGGGCTGGAAGAGATCAAGGGGGGTCTCCTGGGACGCGGCACACACCCGCTCAGCCCCTCCCAAAGATCAGGCAGCTGCTCCCGTCCTCCAAAATGTCATCCCCCAGTCCCAGAGCCACTTTGGTTTCCTGGTTAAGAGTGATGGACTCACCAGAATGGCGAGAGGGTTGGAATCCGAGTCTTATGAGGAAAGGCTGAAAGAGTTGGGTCTGTTTAGCCTGGGAAAGAGAAGGCTTAGAGGGGACACGATTGCAGCCTTTGAGTATCTGAAGGGCTCTCATGTAGAAGATGGAGCGGATCTATTCTCTTTTGCTCCGGATTGCAAGACTAGGTCTAATGGGTGGAAATTACAAGGGAGTTGATACCGGCTAAGTATCAGGAGTAACAGTAAGAGTGGTTGAGCAGTGGAACAGACTGCCTCGGGAGGTGGTGGAGGCTCCTTTGCTGGACATTTTCAAGCGGAGGCCGGACGGCCATCTTTCGGGTACGTTGTAGGTATGTAGGGCTCTCTTTCAGCTAGGCTCCTGCAGAGTGCAGGGGGTTGGACCGGATGACCTGCAAGGTCCCTTCCAACTCTAACATTCTATGATTCTAATCCAGAGAGCCGGATTCGGTTCCCCACTCCTCCTCCACATGCAGCCAGCTGGGTGACCTCGGGCCAGTCCCAGTTCTCTCAGAGCTCTCTCAGCCCCACCTGCCTCACAAAGTGCCTATTGTGGGGAGGGGAAGGGGAGGTGATTGTAAGGTTGAGAAAAGCAAGGTGTAAAAACCAGCTTTTCTTCTTCCCCGAGGCAGGTGCCCCTTGGCTTTGGGCTCCTGGGCGGCTGCCTCCCTGTTTGTGCAGCCCTTGAGCAGGCCCTGGGGGTGCTTCTGGAGTGGAAGACAGGTAGACGACGGGCCCTCTCCAGCCCCCAGTCCCCGTTTGAAATAAGCCAGTACCGGGAAGATGAGGCCTCCTTCACTGGCGCCTTTATTGTTAGGAGTAAATAGAGATCAAAATCCGGGCAGAGGAAACGGCGGCAGGTCGGTGGTTCAGTCGCACTGGGTGGCGGCTTGGCTGGGATGCTGCTCTCTTGGGCTGGAAGTCACCGCGAGGCCTGTTCTGAGTGGGGAGAAGGAGAGGAAGGGAGACGGGAGGGTTCGGTTGGGGCTGCAGGGGAGGGAATCCCAGAGCTGAGGGGGCACCCGCCGATGTTGCCCTCCCCCGGCTCCCCTGCAGGGATTCCTGGGTGCATAAAGGAGGAAAGTTGCATGGGGGGGGGGGAGCTCCGTTGTTAGTCTCTGCTTCCCCTTTGTGGCCCCACACGGGCCTTCTCTCTGCCAGGGTCAGGGAGTCCTCTCAGGCCTGAGCCACACTGCTGACCCCCAAGGAACTACCCAGCTCCGGGACAGCCAGGGTCTCCCCCCCCCAGGTTCCTCCCAGTTGAAGAGGGGGGGCCTGTGGCCCCACAGCACAGCACTTACCAGAGGACTCGGCCTTCTTCTGGGGGGGGGTGGCCTCAGCTGGACCCCACCGGGAGCCCCCTGGAAAAGGCGAACACGCCCGGCCGGTAGTACTCTTCACCCTCCATCCTGACCTGCTCGCATTCCCGCGCCTGCTTCTTCCTCACCTCCTGCGGGGGCAACGGAAGGGCAGGGAGGTCCAGCGGCAGGGAACCTCTCCCCCTCAGCACCATGTCACGAGGGACGGGAGATCGGTCGGGGTGCACACCACGGCCCTTTTGTTACTGCGGGGGCTGGGGGAGGAGGAGGAGGAGGAGGACTAATCCTGCCCAGGCTCAGCCTCAGAGTGGGCCCGCCTGTCAGCATGCAGGGTGCAGCTCCCCTGAGGAAGCGCAGAAGGCAGGCGGGTGCGGAGGGCGAGATGAGAAGGGCTCCCCCAGAGGAAGGGCAGGGTACTTCCCGGTGGCAGAAAGCCCCCCGGGCGCCAGGGTGGAGGGGGATCCATCTTCCACCCCTCGTCCACTGATGCGATCCTTGCCCACGCAGCCCCTATGCCCCTCTCCCCCAAGGGGAGCGGTGGTGGTGGGGGAATGAGTGGTCAGGTGCCTCCCCCCCCCCCCCCCAGCAGGCCTGGCCCTGGGCAGCTGCCTCACCGGAGGGTGTGCTAGCACCAGCTTTCCATTCAGAGGACGCGACTTGCTCTTGGGCAGGCAGGCAGGCTTGGAGCGCCTGCACGTTCGCGCCCCCCCCCCCCCCCCGGAGTGAGCACTGCTGACTTCTGCCTGGGCGGGCAGGACACAGACCCTGGATGGCACAGGAGCAACATTTGGGCCTTGGGAATGTGTGAATGATGTGTCAACAGTTACACCCTCATGTCCAGCCCAGGACAACGAGGAGGGGCATCAACTGTGGAGCCCCATCACCTCCAGAACTAATTGCCTGTCTGCCCCACATCACGGAGATGAAAGCAGTGTGCCTGGGAGGTCCCTGGTGGCCTGTCTTTTAGGGCTGCCAACTCTGAGTTGGGAAATTCCTGGAGATTTGTGGGGTGGCGTCTAGAGAGGGCGAGGTTTGGGGAGGGACTGTAATCCCATAGAGTCAAGGTATAATGCCACTGAGTCCACCTTGGAAAGCGGCCATTTCCCCCGGGGGAATGGATCCCTGGGGTCTGGAGATCTTCTGGTACCCCCCCTTGGAGACTGGAGTCCCAAAAACAGCATCCGTGACAAAAATAACGAAGAGTCGATAAAGATAAGTTGCAGTAATTTCTGTGGAAATTTTTCTTCTATTATTGCCCACACACTAACGAATGCTGCGCAATGTAAACAATTCGTTTCACAATATTTGCTTTATCTGAGCGTGTCGCAATCCCAATTCTTATCAATTACTACTTGTCAACTCTTGAAGGAAACATTCCATGTTGACTCTGTTCTGTTTGTTGGCGTGTGAGGGATAATAGAAGAAAAATTTCTACAGAAATTACTACAGTAAACTTTTTTGCAACTTCTCTTTTATCGACTCTTCGTTATTTTCGTCACGGATGTTGTTTTTGGAATTCCACTTCCTCCCGTGATCTCTCGTTTTTGGCTGCTACCACTTGGGAGACTGGCAGCCCGGTGTCCACCAGACCAGAGCCAGACCTGCTTGGCTTCCACAGGGCACCTGAATCAGGTTGCCCCTCTCCTCCCGGCATGCCCTGGGGGCGTGCAGCCAAAGGCCTTCGTAGTCCACAATACCTCCCCGAGGCCTTCCAGCCTCCTCCTCTCATGGGCCCTGACCTGTGCGGGCCACACCAAGGAAAGGGAGAAGGGAAGGCCCACCTGGAAGAACGGCACTTGCTGCGACAGGCACCGCACCGATTTGTCCAACATGTTTTCACTGGAGTCGAATTTGAAGCAAGCCAGACACTTCTGCTTCCTCTGAGGCACAAAGAGAGAGAGAGGCCAGAGGTGAGAGGGAGGGGAGAAGGCAGAAGGGCCCTGTGTCTCCAGCCTCTGCCATTCCCCGTGCGAAAGGGTGCAGGTAGCTCAGACGTGAAAGCCCCTTCGCTGCCCAAGACACTCCTGGGCTACACAGAGCGTGACTTGGCATACAGAGGCTCCACGTGGGGCCGTTTGCGCAAGAGATGCCTTAATAAAGTGTTGGGTTTCCCAGGTGAGCAAAGCTTCCGTGAGGGCTGGTACCTCCAACCAGTGCAGACTCAGTCCTCGAACAAGTCTGTTCTCCCCACTTTCTCCATCACATGAGCAACATTCCTCCAGGCCCCTGAGAAAATGCCTCCTCTCTCTTATAACGGGGGCTGGATCCATGCCACTAACCATAATATTTTCCCCTGGTGCAATGAAACCACACACACCCCCCATTAAATCCTGGTCAATGCTGAAGAATTCCTACCAGATTTCCCTACCTGCAGTAGGCTAAGAAACAGCGATGCTTTGCCTTGATTGGTTGTGGAGTCTGAAGACATAATTTGGGCAGGGAGGATGCCCAGTGGGCAATGCTCCCTCTAAACTGTGGAGTCTTGTGAGCAAAAATTCTGCTTTGTGAGCTCCTGGCATTAAAGTTGTGAGCCAGCAGTTTGGCTGCTGCGTAAAGTAGTTTGCTCTGGAGCCATCCCTTCCTGAGCTAAGACAAAAAATGTGTGAGCCGGAGGCTAAAAAAACTGAGCAAGCTCACACTAACAGCTTAGAGGGAACACTGCCTCTGACCCATGCGTCAACAGATGGCTCCTTGCGCCAGAGGAAAGTGGGACGGGCCCGGGAGATCCCACCCCACCCCACCCCCCGGTGGTGGCCGGGACGGGACTAGGGCAGTCTCCTTGAGCATGAGGGGGTGAATCGCTCGGATGTGGGTGGGCAACTCTTGGTTTATGATGTGGACAAAGAGGATCATCCTAGTGAAAAGAAACCCCATCAGTGACAAGCAATGCAGATGAAAGGCATTTTCCAATAGGGTGTGCTCTGGCTCACCCCGCCTGTCTTGATCCGGCAGTTCTGCGTCCCTCGTTGCGATTTCCTGCAGGGCGTCTGAACCAGATCGACTTCCAGCTGGACAAAGGTCCCCATCTGGAGCTGCTGCCACCAAACAGAAGAGGGTCAATGCCGCGAGGTGTCCCCTCCCCAACCAAGCCGTCATCATGGGGTGAGTCCCCCTGCAGGGCAGTTCTGGGGAGCACGGGATGAGGGGCTCATGGAGGCCACCTCTCCTTGCAGGCCCTGCGAGAGCCTGGATCCTCCTCGCTAGAGGATGGCCTCTCCCATTCCGAACAGGTGAACACACAGATGAAGCTGCCTTCTACAGAATCAGACACACACACACCCCGCGGTCCAGCAAAGTCAGTCTTGTCTACTCAGACTGGCAGCATGAAATATACTAGGTTCAGACCCGTAGAAGTGATCAGCTCATTCCTTATTAGTGATTCAGCAAGAGAGAGAAGAAGAATCGCTACCCCTGGCCGAAGCCAGGTATTTATGCCTCAAAAGGGTTACGCCCAAAACACACCCCACTCCCAACGATAGGCTGTTTACACACTATTTTTTTCCCCAGTTGGTTTAGTCTAGGATCCCTGTCTCCCTACTGGTCCATTCTAGGATTTTTGTTGTTCAGTCGCACAGTCGAGTCCGACTCTTCACGACCCCATGGACCAGATCACGCCAGGCCTTCCGGTCTTCCACCGTCCTCTGAAGCTGGCTCAACTTCATGCTCGTTGCATCGATGACACTGTGTAACCATCTCATCCTTTACCGTCCCCGTCTTCTTTGACCTTCAATCTTTCCCAGCATCAGAGTCTTCTCCAGTGAGTGCTCCCTTCTCATTGGGTGGCCAAAGTATTTGAGCTTCAGCTTCAGTCTCTGGCCTTCCAGGGAACAGTCAGGGTTGATTTCTTTTAGGATTGACTTATTTGATCTTCTTGCAGTCCAAGGGACTCTCATTCTAGGATACTAGCAATCTATTGTTATGCATCCCCAAGCTCAGTCCTTTTGCAAGTACAGTTCAGGCTCAATACATAATACAGCAGCTCTCCAGGGTCTTAGGCGGAGGTCTCTCATGTCACCCACTGTATAAAGTACAGAGACTGATGCATGGAGTAGAGATTTCAGCTCATCCTTTATTAGTACATAGGAGAACTTGAGATAACTAGAGTGGCCCATGGCCCGCATATATTCCCGTTCAAAACACACCCAACATTCATACCCAATGTTCCCTCTAAGCTGTGGAGTCTTGTGAGGAAGAATTCTTCTTTGTGAGCTACCGGCATTAAAGTGAGCGAGCGATTTGGCTGCTGCATAACTTAGTTTGCTCTGGAGCCATCCTTCCCGAGCTAAGACAAAAACGTGTGAGCCGGAGGCTAAAAAACTGTGAGCTTGCTCACATTAACTCAGCTGAGAGGGAACCACTGGCTGCAATGCTTCCTCTAAGCTGTGGAGTCTTGTGAGCAAAAATTCTACTTTGTGAGCTCCTGGCATTAAAGTTGTGAGCGAGCAATTTGGCTGCTGCATAAATTAGTTTGCTCTGGAGCCCATCCTTCGTGAGCTAAGACAGAAATGTGTGAGCCGGAGGCTAAAAACTGAGCTAGCTCACCCTAACTCAGCTTAGAGGGAACACTGCTCACACCCATAATTGGATTATTTACACACAACTCCCCCTATTGGTTCCCTATTAGGATCCTGGCTGACCAATAGGTGAGTTCTCGGATCCGTAGAAGCTATTGTCCTTGGTGCGAAACTCCGCACGTTCCTGTGGCCATGTGCGAGCCCGACTTTGTGCCCGTAGTCTTATCATGGTACACACCATGCTGTCAGTTCTTTTTCCAACTGGAGATGCTGCCGGGGATTGAACCTGGGACCTTCTGCATGCCGAGGAGATGCTCTTCCTCTGTGCCACAGCACCTCCACAGCCCCGTTCAACAGCCACACCTGCTTCTCTCTGTGCCCGCTCACAGACCGTTCTGTTCCTGGGCATTTTAAGTAACTGGATCCATTTTGTTGAATCGTTTCCTAGAAGAAGTCCGGAGGGCACCTTTGCTCCCCATTCCTACGATGGACTGTCAGTTGGTCTTTGTCTGGGAGGGCATTTCTTGAAGTTTGATACTGCCTCAAGAGGGCAGTTTGGAAAGACACCATGGAGTATCTTACTGCATTTGATTTTAGGCAGCTGTAGAGTTCAAGACCCGAGGGCCGCTCCGGTCTCTGGTCCCAGCTCCTGCCAACCTAGCAGTTCGAAAGCAAGAAATTGCAAGTAGATAAATAGGGACTGCTTTGGTGGGAAGGTAACAGCGTTCCGTGCTCCTCGGCATCTAGTCATGCCAGCCACATGACCATGGAGAAGTCTTTGGACAGCGCTGGCTCTTCGGCTTGGAAACGGAGATGAGTACCGCCCCCTAGAGGCAGATTCGGCTGGCTTTCGAGCAAGGGAAACCTTTACCTATAGTTTTTGTTGGTCTTATGTGCAACAGAATGATTGTGCAATTAAATCAATTGTTATTTGTGCCTCTTGGCTCCTTGTTGGATCAGGCCAAAGGCCCCTCCAGTCCAACACTCTGTGTCACACAGTGGCCAGAAATACCAGGGGCCATCGAGAGGTCCAGCAGTGGGGCCAGGATGCTTTGCCTTGAACTGCCTTGAATCCCTGAAGAAAAGCAGGATGTAAATATCCCAGTAAATAAAGGGTCAAACCCCAGCTGTTCCTTTGACACCCTTGGGGAGCGAGTGCTGTGTAACTCTCGATAACTGGACTTGCTGGGCAGAAATGGGGCCAGGCAGGCAGAGCACGGGGGGGAGGGCCCAACTCATCCACCCCTCTATTTTTTTGACCTCTGGGCTTCTTTCCCAACTTTTGGCTAGGGCTGAGCAAGTGTCGGGGGGGGGGAAGCCCTACAGTCGAGTTGGGGTGAGCTGGACACATGAAGCAGCTGAAGGAAGCTGTACTCCCCTAAATCATCAGCTGTATCAAATACGATAGTCCTAATGTCTTCGGACAGCGCTGGCTCTTCGGCTTTGAAACAGAGATGAGCACCGCTACCTTAGAGTCTGATTCTACTGGCTTTCGAGCAAGGGAAACCTTTACCTTTTACTTAACCACTACAACAAACTGGAGAAGGAGAAGAGGAGGAGGAGACTGGATTTATATCCCGCCCTTCACTACCCAGAGGAGTCTCAGAGCGACTGACAAACTCCTCTCCCTTCCCCTCCCCACAACAGACACCCTGTGGGGTAGGTGGGGCTGAGAGAACTCTGACAGAAACTGCTCTTTTTCAAGGACAGCTCTGACCAGAACTATGGCTTGCCCAAGGTCATCCAGCAGGTGCAAGCAGAGGAGTGGGGAATCAAACCTGGTTCTCCCAGATTAGAGTCCACGCACTTAACCCACTACACCAGAGGCGTGTGTGAGCCATGAGCAGCTGGCGAGTCAGAAGGGTGCGTAGAAGCAGCAGGGTGAGGAGTGTGTGGGGGGGGCATGCTGCACACAGGGCGCTGGGCCGGGATCTGTGGGGGGAGACCTGGCTGCGCAAAATACGTGCACGTCTCCCCCACCCCTTTGCAGCTGTAGAGCCGCTTGGCAGGAAGGAAGAGCCGGCCAGCATGCATGCCTCACTGGTCCCCCCCCCATCCCAGGGGTGTGGGAGAGAGTTCAGACTGTGCAAAGGGAGGGAAGGAAAGGAAGCAGGGGGGGGAGTGTCACTCCTTGCCTGCCCGCGGACTCTGCTGTGTGACAGGACAGGCCTGGGAAGCAGCCACCGCTACCACCACCACCACTGCCACCAGGGCCCTCTCGCGGTCCCAACTTCCAAGGTGGCTGAGGAAGACGACGAAGAAGAGGAGCCACCTCTATTGCGGACCTTGGTAGCCCGCTCCTCCCCGGTTCCCCGACCCCAGCACCTGCCCAACCCTCGGAGAACGCAGCAGCCCCTGGGGAAGGCAAGGAGAGGCTTGCTGGGCTGCTGGCAGGCAGGGAAGGGGATGGGGGCAACCTGTTTGGGGGCTCGTAGAATTGGACCCCCTGGTTCAATGTTCCTGAAACATGGCGGGTATCTTGGGGAGAGGCTCCAGCAGCTACACTGTGAGTTTGGAGCCTCTCCCTTAAACCCCCTCCCCTCCAGATCCCAGAATATACTCTATGTTTTCGCCATTGACTTCAATGGCCCATAGGATATAATGGGGCCGAACTGCGGAAAGCCGATTCAGATCAGAGAATCTGAATCGGCCCACAGCAGCCTGAAAGGGTTTGCTCGGGCTCTCTGCAGCCGTGGGGATCCTGAGCAAGCCAAGGGAAGGGAAGGGGGTTTAAACTGCCTCTCCTTCCCTCCAGCAACTGGCTTGCTCGGGCTCACCGAGCAAACCAAGGGAAGGGAAGGTGGCGGAGCAGCTGGAGACATCGAGCCTCAGCTCCACAAGTAATGAGCACTTGAGCCCCCGCCCCCAGCAGCCCTTAGGCCGGAGCACCTGGAGCAGTCTTGGGAGGCGGATTTGCAAAAAGCAAAATCAAAAGCGCAGGAACTCGAGAGAACTCCAGGAATGGAGCCAGTTCCTCTTTCACAGCCCAAAATGCGACCCACGAACCCTGAGCTTGCATTTCTTTGCACACAGCTTGTGCGGCTGGCTGAGTGCCTGTTCTGCTTGCCCACCTCTCGCCTCTGCACCTCATCTTCTGCCAGGCATGGAGGAGCCCAGCTCGCCCAGGCTTCTTGCCTCCTGCTGCCTTGGCCCTCTGGTGAGTCTCCAAAGTTTGACTCTTCCTCTACAAGTTTCTGGCACTGGAGGTATTCACCTCCTTCCCTCCTGCCTGCTATGGCTGCATAATTGTGAGAGATTTAAGAACATAAGAACATAAGAGATGCCAATGTTGGATCAGGCCAAAGGCCCATCTAGTCCAACACTCTGTCACACAGTGGCCAAAAATACCAGGTGCCATCAGGAGGTCCACCAGTGGGGCCAGGACATT